CTACCCTCACCTACTGCCCAGCCCATGCAGGGTTATTTTCCCCTCTCCAAACCAGGAAAGGGCACCAGCTGTCCCGAGCGTGGCTAACTGCTGCTGTTCCCAATGTTCCATTGTCCCCAGGGGTCCCACTGGCCCCACCAGCCCACACTGACCCCACTCTACCCAGCGGTGGCATTGGTTTCCCTGTGTTGACTCCCCCTGCCCCAGAGACCCCTCCCAAACCAGCCCCAGCCCCTGTTCCCCACTGCAATGGGGGAATCACAGAGTGGGACAGGACCCCCAGTCCCCCCAGCCCAGCACTGACACCTCGGGAGCCTTCCTTGCTGCCACCATCCACCGCTGCCCATCCCCTCCCAGCTGAACCCTGCTGCGCCAGGGCTAAAAATAAATCCATCAATTTCTAGGAAAGCTCCTTGGAGAGCGTGAGCGAGTGGGAGCACATGGCCAGGAGGAGCATGCGTGCTCCAGGGGAAGCAGCATCCTTGGGAGGAGACCGGGGCCACCAAGCCCCTCCACATGGCCACAGCCAGCCCAGGGCACCCGCAGCATCCCCAGGGTTTTTTCCCCCAATCCACGTGGACATTTTTTTGTACCAATCCACTGCTTCCCAGAGCAGCCAGATGAGGGAAAAAGGGGAGTCAAAGCTGGGGCAGCACAGGACCTGCTCATCCCTGGAGGAATCTCCCCCTTGCTAACCTTGGGGTGGGGAAGGATGTTGGGAGGGCTGAGGGCAGCATCGCCAGCCATCCTGGGGACAAGGCACCTTTGTGACCGGGGTGTCAGCCAGGGAGACAAAGCCGGACTAGCGACACAGGGTATTTATTTCTGCCCCAAACCCCGCTGTGAGCCATCACCCCCCTCCGCTGCGCTCCTCGGCCCCCAGCACATAATTGGGGACAGCTTTGCTGAGCCGCTAAGCTCCCGTTTAAGCAGCTGAGCGCGAGTGGCCGGATTTCCAGGCAGCGCATCCCTGCGGCTGCTCATCCGCCCGGAAAGGCCGGGGCGGGGGTGCCCGGTGCCCGCGGGGGCGCAGCCGGCCCGGCTCTGCCCGCTCAGGCATTAACGCCGCCGTCAGCCCGGATTAATTCTGCCCTGGGCTCCCGCCGCAGCTGCGGGGAGCACCAGCCCCGTGCGTGCTCAGGGAGGAGCCGGGACACAGGCAGATCCCCAAGGGAATCTGTACAGGCTGGCTTAGGGATGGGTATCCGCACCAGGACAGGTTTGCTTGGCAGGGAAATCCGCTGTTCTGTGGGCAGGCAGGCAGCCGCAGCGGCACCACGCAGTGCTGGGTGCTCTCGGTGCAGGCTCCAGCCAGCCTCTGTCCCATTTATATTGTGGGAAGGATTTGGTGAAAGAGGTGGGAGCACATTCAGAGGCTCCCCGAGGCTCTTCCTTAAAATGCCCCTTTTATTGCAGGGTGCATGCCCCATCAGAGCCCATCCCAACACCAGGCTGTCAGTGACATCCCTCCAGTTCCTCTTCCATGCCCCATCAGAGCCCATCCCAACACCAGGCTGGTGGTGACATCCCTCCAGTTCCTCTTCCAGGCCGTGGCTGTCCCAAGCCACCACAGGCAGAGTTTCTCCTTGGGTGACACACTTGCCCAATCTCCGAGTTCAGCCACGATGGAGAGACCAGGCAGGAGGCAGAGCCGTGTGAAATACTGGCGTGTTTATTGGTTGGCACTAGATTACAGCCCACACTCTTGGCAAACTGGCACCCAGCGATTTTATTTTTTCAATTTTTCACTCTTTTAAAGACAGTGACGGCCTCCCTGTCACACACAACTCAACAGAGGAAACCCCTCGTGACAGGACCCCACTGCACCACCCAGTTCACACACAGAGAGCCCTCCAAATTTCTGGAGACACTGTAGAGGTCAGGATCGTGTGGGGATGTCCTGCAGATGGGGGTGAGGTCAAAGGTACCAGCTCAGACACAAACCAGACAAACCCCCACAGCTCTGACCAGCCAAGGAGAGTCCTTGTTTTGGGGAGGAATGGAGAAACCTCAGGCAAACACAACTATGGACACGAGGCTGGACAATGGACCCTGGGCATTCATCCCTCTCCTGGGTCTGGGGTCCCCTTCTCCTGATTTGGGGGGGCTGCCAGGAGCCCCCCACATACACAGAGCTCATGGAAGGACTGAGCAGCAAATGCAAAGTGATCATTCCAGATTTTCTGATTTAATAAATATAAAATAGGACACACAGGAAATTCAACAAACACTCTCAGAGCTCGCCAGGTTTCTGAGGCAATTCTAGAGCAAATTCATCAAGTATAACATCAAAATTCCCATCTTCCCATCAAAAAAAAAAAAAAAAAACCAAACCAAAACCAAAACAAAACAAAACAAACCTCTATGGACTAGCACCAGAGAGAGATTTATAAATCTCCTAAATACAACTTCAGTCCAGTTCAGTTTCTTTTTCACCAGCTCCACTTCAGTTCTGTACAGACCTGCCACTACCCCAGCACAGCACTCAGGATCTCCAGAGCCCAGAGCAGCTGGATTAGTTCATTCCAGGGTCAGGAAAATGAGGATCACACCCTGTGTGTGTCAGGGGCTCAGCTGAGGGACACCCCAGCCATGAGGTCACCACGTCCCTGAAGGGCTGCAGCCACCAGATGATGCCATTACTGAGGAGAACAGAGCCAGGAGAGAAAACTCAGCCTGGGGGCCAGAGCAGAGCAGGCAGAGGGAAAAGCTCCTCACAGTGCCACAGTCACTGCCTGGGGCAGGTCTGGCTGAAGATGCAGCTCCATCCCCACCGGCACAGGCTCCGCTTGGGAGGGTCAAGCCCCAAACCAGCCCCTCACCAAGCCCCAGGGTTCCTGTATGCTCTGCACAGGGATGGACGCTGCATCTGGCTGTGTGAAAACACCAACACGTTAATTTGGGATGAAACAGAGAGAACAGGCAGGAGAACCCACAGCTCTGGTACAAGGGGCACTCGCTGGACCTGTGCAGCCTCCAGGATTCTGATCCCTGCTCGCTGTGGAATGCTGAACACAGCTTCTGCATGGAAAAGCTGAGGCGAAGGCCCAAAGCCTCTGCTGGATCCGGGAAGGGAACTGAGGATTCCTGACATTCCCTACCCACATTTGTAGCCACTGAATACTTTGTGGCCACACAAGGGAAAAAGCAACACTTGCAGATTCCAACCCCTTTTCAATTTTTCCCTTTACAGAGTTTGCTTTAAGGCACATTCCAGCTCAGGCTGAACGAGCTGCCTCAGTGCCCCACACGAGAGCAGGGAAGAGCTCACAGCATCCACCTACACAGGAACGGAACTGGTGGCAATGCTGATACTGCTGCTCCTTGCAGCCCCAAACCCAGCTCCCACCTTCCCCCCCAGCAGCAGGTTTGGGTGCTGCCTGCCCAGCACCCATGGGTGAGGGACCCTGACGTGCTGCCCCCTTCCATCAGCTGGCTGATGAAGAGCAGCCCCTCCTCACCTCACACCCCAAACCAGCACTCAGGACCTGCCAGGAGGGGGGACCAGAGGGCTGCTGCACCTCGCTGGGTGCCTGGGGACACCCTCTGTCACACCCTGCTCCCAGCAGTGCCCAGAGAGCACAGCCAGGCCGAGAGCCAGCTGAGAACTGCTCCCAGGGGATGCTGACACACAGAGTGACACCTCACATAAGGGTCAGGCCAGCTGAGGTAAGAAACCAGCTCGGAACAGCACCAGTTTCAGCACAGCTGGGAGCCCCAGGCTCATCCCCTGGGGCTCAGTGGCCCCAGCAGAGACTGAGCAGCACGGACCGGGCTGCAGAACCAGAGCCACCCTCCCACAGCTGCCCTGGGCCTCTCACAGACAGGGCAACGCTCATCCCAAACCAATTAATAGAGATAAAACCGCTCCAGCTGCTGGGGGTGCAGCTGGACAAGCTCTAGAGAGAACCTCAGATGCTGAGGAAGATGGGAATTGTGTGGTGCACACGGCTCAGGCCTGGACTGAAATCTGCATCTCTTCCATCAAGGCTATTCCTGCCCCAGGAGCCATTTCCAGTTACATCAGCCACTCCGTGGTAACAGCATCAATCCATGCCACATTAAAACACTTTCTTGGCACAATTTATTTTTTCTGACCCAAACAAATAAGCCATTAGCAAGTCATTAACAATATTCTACCCTAAATTGTCAGTTTAACAGCCCTGTAAAAACATTTTTTAGTTTAAAAACAAAAGTGTGCATGCTGCTGATATTAAAACTGCAGTTACTCTTTCAGGAGTACCAGCTGTTTTGTTGCAAAGCATTTCCAACATACTAATCTGTACAGTAGAGACCAAGACTCGTTGAAGGCAGTAGATGGCTGTGCCAGGTGCCTCGCAGGGCACGGGGACAGCGACTCTGGGAATTTCTTGGACACTTCCAGATAGAATATTCAAGCCCTTTTGAGAGTTTGGTTCAGGCTGACCAGCACATAGTGAGAAAGGATTGTACATTCGTCTCTAAGTTGAAGTGAGCTGAACTGGTGTAATTTGGGCTCAATTCCAGACGCTTGGGTTTGAGCTACTCCTTGAATAATGGGCTGTTCCTTACGCGTGGTTTTCCATGTCAGCGATCACTGGCACTGCTTTTGGCCTTGCTACTCCACACCGATGAAAGCAGGGAGAACAAGGAAAGGAACAGAAAAGGATCTTAAAATGAACAGCTTCTTGCCAAACCAGCAAGGATACCATTCCCCCTTGTCCCAGGCTCCATGGATATTTCTATCAGGTTTTCATATTGTAAGCGCTTCGCAGGAAGAGAGAAAACTCCAGAACAGTGAGTGTTTATTAGAATATTTTTTTGTTAAATAAAGAGCAGGAAAAAAAAAAAAAAAAGGAAAAAAAAAAAAAGTACTGCAGATTTAATTTCACATCTTGGCTCTGCTCTGACAAAGGAGAAGTTACTGAACTCAGCAACCACTTCTTGTCCCAAGCCAGGGATTAATTAATGCCCCTCCCAAAACTTGTACCTGTCCCTACCCACCCAACCCAACCCCAACCCTTCCCGTTTTATTTCCCAACTAGACAACACTGTTGGCAAATCAAGACAGCATGAAACTTACAGCAATAAAACAACAAACCCCCAAGTGAAGTGTGCCGGCGCACGGGGAGCTCTGCTGCGCTGCTCCCCCGGGAATGCCGCCTGCAGCAGGCAGCTGTACCTTTCACGGAGGGCACACCTCAAGCACGCTCCACGGTGCGACCGTAAGTGCTGCAGAACCACAGGACAAGAGACTCAACACCTGAATTTTCCCCCCGGGATTTCTCTTCAGGGACGCGCGCGCCATTTCTCTCCTCGGCGAGCGCGGTCCGGCGCTCGGCACAAACCCCAAGCGTCCAGTTCAGCACGGCGTAAGGCATGTGGACAAGAGAGACACGAGCAGGACGCAGCGGGAGCAGGGGCAGCGCTGCTGAGCCTCGCTGCAGTTTGTCTGTCCGTCCATCTGGCCCCCCTGCAGCCCCGATCCCACCGGGCGCTGTCGCAGCGCTGCTGAGGCCGTTTGGTTTTGGCCAGCGGCTCCAGACCGGCTCCGTGCGGTTTCCCTCGGATGGAAATGCAGAAACGTCGGTGGAAGCTGCCGGAAAAGCGGCGGGGATGTCTGCAGGGATGTCTGCAGGTGATCCGAACTCTGCCCTCAACTTCAAGTGTCACTGCACTAAATCGGGAGATACTGGTTGGGGAGTAAACTGGCCCAGCCACTAGCACTGTCACAGAATGTGTGTTTTTAAAAAACAGAACAAAAGGCAAACAGATTAATTATGAACCCTTCTTTTCAGAAGCAGACCAGGATTAAAAAAAAAATACTCCCGCAAAATTAAAATGTTAGATCCTCCATCTAAAAAAAAAGTTTATACAGATGTGCTGCGAGTAATCCCCACACGGGTCTGAGCAGCACCTTACAGTACAGACTAAGACTTGAAGAGCTGATCTCACATTGGAAGTCTTTTAATTAAAAAAAAAAAAAAAAAAAAAAAAAAAGTGGCTTGGCTGGGGTGACACGAAGGGGACACTTGGGACACTTCAGAGCACAAGGCAGATGCGGGGCTGGCAGCCTCCAGGCCGTGGAGCGGAGTACCGGGAAAGGGGCACTTCATGCACAAAATGTATTTTACAAAATACAGATCCAAAAAAAAAAAAAAAAAAAAAAAAAAAGCAAAAAAAGCCAACAACAACGAAAAAAAAAAATCATCCCACCTCGCACTAAATCGCAGCACTCTGAACACTTGCTCTGCCCCATGCCTGGTGTGAGGGAGGAGGCATGGGAACGGGGAGGGGAGGGAAATCCAGGTCTCAGTCTGCTTTAGGGAATTGCTCTGGCAGGGACCTCGTCAGTCATCTGATGTCGGACACGGAGCCCTCGGAGTACGGCGTGCTCATCACCGGGGTGCCGTTGTTGGCCAGACAGCCTTGCCTCAAGGTCTCAAAGTACGAGGCCTGCACCGGTTTATGATACTGCAGAACTTTTATGGCATCCTCTATCTTAAACCATTCCCTTTTCCTTCCTGGGGGCAAAGAGAGAAATCAGTAGATGCAACAGAATGATGTTTTCTGATCTCAAGGGCCTCCCCCTCCAACCCCACACTGACAGCTCCCCATCCCCAGGGACAGGTGCTTTTTGCTACTTCTGCAATTTCTAGTCAAGCCAGATGCTCATTTTAAGACAATTCACAACACACAACCCAATTTCCATCAGTTTGCAAATGGACTTCAGTTTCCTGTGGACAGCTCTCAGTTCTTACTCTTTCCACAAAGAGCCTGAGGGGAGTCATGTTCCATTTGCTGCAGTGCAGTCACAAACCTTGTGGCAACAACAGGTTCATTTCCACTTGGGAATCCAATTGAAACACAAGGGTTTCAAAGGTAACAGGGAATGATTAACCCACACTGCTCACATGTATTTCCTCTAGAATCAGACAGGACAGCTCTTCATCTTTGCTTGGCACCATGCAGTGCAAGAATTAAACACAAAATTGCTGCAGAGGCAGCTGGACACTCACTTGGCTTCTCCTGGGCCACAGAGGTGACAAATCATCAATTTCACCTCAATTTTTTTCCCAAGCAACCAAAGGACACACCACTGCAACTTTTCCCAATGCCACTCCCACAGGCTCCAGGTGCCAGAGGGATGCTGAGCTGACCTGTGGGTTGCTTCCATCAGTTACTGCAGCATGCACCAAGCTTACCAATATTGACAGAGTCCTCCCAGTCCTCCAACACTTCGGTGACGATGAGTACGTAAACATAAGTCCTGTGCTTCCTGTCCCGGTTCTGGAAGGCAAAGGGGACAGAGGAGTAACCACCAACCAACAGCAACAGCAAACCTGTCCAGGCAGGAGGGCACTGGGCTGCTGCAAGATGCAAACTGCCCACCTTGGGTGCAGCTCCTCCCACAGCACAGCTCATTCTTAGCTACTAAAACCTGCTGTGTTTTAAATCAGAGAGGTCTGAAAGTGTTGATAGGGACACCCAAAAGTGCAGTTCCTCATCTGTGGAGCAGTGGTGTGTGGACTGATGTGCTTGCAAATTAGTTCTTCAGCTGGGAAGGTTTTGACCTGTTTCACATGAGTTTGAAGGAGTCAGTGCCATAAGAACAGCAATTGCTTGTCTGGTACCTGCCCACTGTGCCAGGTGAGTGCCACACGTGAAGGGGACCCCACTCCCCAGCTTTTGGCAGCACCAAGAATAATCAGCCACACCAGTTATCACCAGTGATTTTGCCCACTGCAAAGATCAGAATTGCTGAGCAGCCGTGTTTTTATTTACCAGCAAGGCTCACTCCACAACCCTGCAGAGCCATTGTTACTCCAAGATGATTTTTTGCAACAAAATTTCACAGTGTCCATGTCTGAAACTTACCTCAAAAATTCCCACTAATCTTCCTAACGTCCCTTTCACTCCAGCCTAGGGAAATTCAAAGAGAAAAGAAATATGCTTTAACAACAGCTCAGTACATGTTTCCTACTTGTTGTGCAGGACCAGTTCCTTTAGGACAGGAAGCAAACGCTCTAAAATTCTGCTTTTCTTAAACCAACACAGTCACAAGGCAAAAAACAGAAATGTATCCTGAGTGCTCAACATCCAGGCATTCCCAGGGGTTTTTTTTCTCTTGTTTTCCTACATTCAAACAATTTTGAATTCAATGTGGGGGAAGAAGAAATATTTGAGGAGTTACTCCTTGCATACCAATACAGTCTTCGTGACCAGAATCTCCTCTGAAGGTTATTACAGCCTGAGCAAGGGGAACATTGGCTTTGGGGTTTGGCAGTTTTACCCCTTCAAAATCAGAGTTTAAGGAAATAAAGTATGTGTAAGACATTCACTACACCCCAAGAGCGATGTGACAGCTCCCAGGTATTTGAGGGGTGTCCTGCACACACCTGACACAATCCAATATGAACACAAAATGCTGTGATGTGGCCCTGGCAGCAGGAGCTAGAGAGGTTTGGATATGACACAAAGGGCAGATGCAGACTGAAATAAAGCTCTTGAATCAAGCAGAGACACAAATCAAGAGATCTAAGCAACAGTTTTGTCTGTTTGAATACTACTGAGGATGTACCACTCCATCACATTTGGTGTCCCTTTTGGCACCTCTCTGCTGGCTCCCTCCCCACCCTGCTCAGCTCTCTGTGCAAAATCCCAGCCCACTCTGCTGCCCTTGCTTTAGATTCCCTCTGTTTTATGACTGTAAATGGTTGGAACTCAAGTGCTACAGACAAGATGAGATCTTGCTCCATGATTTAACAGGCCTGAACCAACCCACACAGCCTGGCACACGACCCAGCCACAACTGGGAGGTAGAGTCAGCTCCATTTCCAGCAGCTGGAACACATCCCATGAGCAGCCCAGGGAAATTGTGCCTCTTGCAGATGAGATACAGAGATATGATTATGCTAGGCTTCTTTTTTTAAAAACAAAAAGTGTTTGAGTCTCATTAATGCTAAGACAAATTCTCTGTCCTACTGACCAGCTGATGCACGGTCTCGTGGTGTCAGAAAAGAAGAATTTTCTTTAATGAGACAATTTTCCTGGTGAAGTTCCAGCCTACTGCATGAACAGGTACCAGAGACTCCAGCCACAGAACACCTCACCCCTGCTGCCAGGCTGCTGATGTGGAACTGCCCCAGGAGCAAAGGGTTTGGAGCTCCCTCACTAAGCAGTCACAGAAATCCAGAAATCCTTTTTCTAGGAAGCGAATCAACCGAATCTCCCATTTCATTTTTGGACACAAGCTTTGTTGTCTCACCAGCATTTGTGACATCCTGCTGGGCCCAGAGGTGCCTCAGTGCCTGTGACTCTGGGGCTATTTCTGGAGCGAGCAGCAGCCCCATGGAGGAGCAGCAATTCCATGCGGGTCGGTGCCTGCTGACCTTTGAGGATTCCACCTCCTCTGCCAACCCTGCTGACCTGGCCTCAGCCCTCTCCCAAGGCATCTGGAATGCAAATGCTTCAAATGCATTTCCCTCAAGGAACTCCTTCAGCACTGGGGTTTATTTTTAGCTCAGCCGTGTTCAACAGGCAGCAGAAACACAGGGAGGAACTGGAGGCTTCCACCTTCACAACATACGGACATGAACGCATTAAAAGGTGAAGAAGAATCAAATATTTCTGGAAAATAACTGTCTTAAACCAATGTTTCACTGGTTTCTGGAAAAGGTTGTTGGATTTCTGCTCTCCCTACCTGTAGGCACTGAATCAGAAGGCAGGGATTTTGTTGTGATGGTTTAGTGAACTCTCAAGTCTGACTAGAAATAAATTTATCTCCAGGCAACTGGCCAAGCTGGAGATGAAGGATGAATTCTGCTCAAGCAGCCTCCCAGGCAGTTTATCCCAGCTCTAGAACTGTGCTGGAAGTAGCAGAGGGAGGTGAGGAGCCCTTCCTTCTGTGCTGGTAAAGAGAGATGATGGAAATAATGCTGTCTTCAAACCAGGATCCTCCTGCTCTGCCCTGCCTGGTCTTATTTGCCCAAAAAGGCACAAAAAGCGATGCCAAGCCAAACATGTCTTGTAGAAAAATCATGTTGAATTATCATCACACAACTGGAGAAAGCTCAAAGCTTTGCTTCACACACAAACCTCCCATGTGCAGTTGTAAATGGCAGCATAAAACAACGGTTTGGTTCAAAAAAAACATCGGGTTGATTTTATAAAGCAAATTCTTACCAAAGGCTGCAAAACACATCAGCCCCCGCTCCTGGGGGCCAGTGCCTCTCTCAGCCTGTTTTCCAGTGGATTTTAAAGACAACATACAGGACACCCAACACCAACAGGATTGTCATGTACCTGTTTTTGATGGAGCACTAAATTCCCACACCAACAGGAGAGTTGTCTCTGTACAATGGCACAACCAAGCATGGAAGTGGAATTCACAGTTTCACACAAATTTCTGACATAGAAGCTGCCCAAAACACCTAAAAAATAACCTATAGCTGCTACCACTGACAAGTCAAGCTTGGTAACCAGCAAGGGAACTGCCAGGCTCCTCTCTGGGCAAGCTCCCCATCTCCTCCTTCACATGGGCAAGAAAATCTTCTTCAAGAGTTAAAGCACAGTCCCAGGCTCACCCAGGACTGCGGCAGGCTCTGAATCTTAATTTGCAGCAGATGACTCAGGAATTTTCTCCTGGATAGTAAATTAATGGCTGAGACAGTGAGTGAGGCAGAGGCAGCACAATTGATTTTGTGCCCCTCCAAGCACTGGAAGTGCTGCAATCCTCCAGGCACGTGGAGAATCCCAGGAGGACCCCAGGAGGATGGTTCTGAACCCATCAGCAGGGGTAGGAGAGCACCAGCACCAGCTGCAGGTGTGGAAACAAAGCAAGGCAATCACAGGACAGGATTCCCTGGGAAAGGCACCCTCAGGTACAAGAGGACACACACAGAGCTGGCACAATGAGCTTTTCCCCAGCTCTGCTGATCCAAATCAGCGTCCAGGGTTCAGGGGAGGAGGAAAAGGCAGCTCTGGCAAGAGCACATCAGCCACAGGCACTGCCAGAGCCAGCTGCCTGCCCAGCACACACTTCAAACCCCAGAGCACCCAGAGGCAGCTCAGGACAAGGAACAAAAACCTGGAGGAAATGAAGCTTTACTAGTTCTGCTGCTCATGGAACAACTTGTTTTAATAAAGAAAAATTACTGAAGCCATCCAAGAACAGCAGGTTCAGGTTTCAAAGCTGAAAATAAGTTGGGGTCAGATGCAAAAAGCAGCCTGCAGCAACACCATCTGTTCCTCGGGACAGCTTTTATTTCCTTCCATCTGAGCTAAGGAAAATGTGGGTTGGAATTTCAGCTATTTTACTTTGCTCTATTAGGCTCAAAGCCTGCATCTACTACAGATTACTGCTGGGCAAGAGAACTGTGGTGGAACACCCAAATCTTTGCTCTAAGAGCTGCACTACTGGAGGTGCAAATCCCACCCAGGAGGGCTGTGGACATGTTTGGAGGATGCTGATTCCAGGCCAGCTGGGCAAACTCTGCTGTCTCAGAGAGGGTCAGACTCATTCATCTAATTTGGTACTGCATGACACCTGTATTTGCTTCTACACTTGTGAAATAGAAATGAAATTCCCTATCAGAATGAAGAACTTTCAGATAGTGCTATCATTTTTGCAAAGTCTGAGTACACAGGGTAAGGGACAGTGACTTTGAGCCACCTCTTGCACTGGGTATGATCAGCTAGGAGGGGTTCAAAGGCCACAATCTCATCATTCATATGTGGGGCCTGCAGTACTTAAAAAAAAATCTTCCTATTTTAGCACTGAAAGATATCAATATCTGTGTTCTAAATCACTAACAAAATACATGAAACAGGAAAGATTATCTATAAAGCATGTTTAGAAGAGGGGGGAAAAAAGTTCCAGCAACCAGATCAAAGTACTGCCATGATGGACTATTCTTGATATTGGCACCAATTGCCTGTTTGATCACAGATCAAGCACAGATTATCTGGCTTTTGACTCCCATGAAAAAAGAACAACCAACGCTCCTGCAGTGGTATAAAATTTGACATTTACTAAGTATTTAAAGGTCAGGATGTGAAGAATGCTCTAAGTGAAAAAGGAACTGGTGCTGAGTGTCACAGATGAGTGTGGAGGCTTTTTTCAAAGTCACTCTATAATAAGTTTAAGGCATCTATTTCTAAACCATGATGTTCACCAGTTGCTCACACCCATAAAAACCCCTTATTCCTAAGCAAAGAACACACTCCATGAGCACCACGACCTGTTTGCAAAGGGCACACACCTTCCACAAGGTGAACTTTAGAACACACGTGGAGTCCCCAGCTCGGTAAGACTGACTACAGCAACCTGTCCAAAATTAGAGGCTTCTTCTGAAGAGGCTGCTCTGACCCAGAGCTGCTGTGTGCCTGCTGTCACTCTGCACAAACAATGCCCAACAACTGCAGTCACTTCCAATTTCCTGCAGACAACAGGGAGCATGACAAGCGTGGGTACCTGTCTGCTTTAATACTTGTGCTGGTACAGACTAATAGAGATAAGGACTACCTCAAACTAGGACAAGGACTTGAACTCAAAGTGGGACAGAGGGATCACAGCCTTCACTCAGAATCAACATTTCATTTTTGGAACAGAAAGAGGGAAAAGTTAGGTAACTTTAGGTGGCAATTCTTTCTGCAATAACATGGATAAACCCAAACACATACACAGTAAAATTAAAACAGTGAATGCAGAAGTTAAAATGTTCGTTTAGGGAAACATGTTTTGGGAATAAAAAAGCACACCATGCAAAAGAGAATGGATTGGGAAGAGACAGTCTATTGTCATCCTCAAAAGCCACAAGCAACAGGAAGGGTCACAAGTTCTTAGAGCTCTTCCAACTGGCTCTTACTAAAAATTGGAAAAGGCATAACAAACCCAGGGAAATAAACTCCACACATTTCTCCCACAGCTTTGAGCAGCATTGCTCATTGCCATGGGGGAAACTGGATTTTCCCTCTCCCACCTCAAGCAACAAACTGGAGCTGCTCAGCTAACCTGTGTCCCCATGAATGGCTGTCCCAGGAGAGAAGCAAGGACCCCAAATCTACTCAGAAATCAGCCTCAGCTCCAAACAACCCCAGAACACCTGGACTGACATGGAAGGGAGAGCAAGGAAACCCTGGCTGCCAAACTGACAGCATGAGCTGGGAAGGTGGGTGCTCCTGTCTTTCCCAAACAGCTCCAAACAGCTCGGGGCCGGGGATGTGGGGATAATTCTGTGTGCAGCCCCACAGCAGCAGCACAGGAGCACAGCCCCAAGGGGGAAGGCATCACACCCCTAAAACTCTGCCAGCACCACTGGCACTGTGCTCATGTCAGACAGCTCCGTGTCAGCTCCTCCACCTGCAGCACCCAAGGCTGGGGGTGCCCAGGTGAGCCAGGGGAGAGCCAGGGGTGCCCAGGTGAGCTGGGGGTGAGCCAGGTGAGCAAGGGGTGCTCAAGTGAGCTGGGGGTGCCCAAGTGAGCCAGGAGTGAGCCAGGAGTGCCCAGGTGAGCTGGGGGTGAGCCGGGGGTGCCCAGGTGAGCAAGGGGTGATCAAGTGAGCCAGGGGGGGGAGCCAAGGGTGCTCAAGTGAGCTGGGGGTACCCAGGTGAGCCAGGGGTGCCCAGGTGAGCCAGGGGTGAGCCAGGGGTGCCCACGTGAGCCAGGGGTGAGCTGGAGGTGCCCAGGTGAGCCAGGGGTGCCCAGGTGAGCCGGGAGTGCCCAGGTGAGCCAGGGGTGAGCCAGGGGTGCCCAGGTGAGCCAGGAGTGAGCCAAGGGTGCCCAGGTGAGCTGGGGGTGCCCAGATGAGCCAGGGGTGAGCTGGAGGTGCCCAGGTGAGCCAGGGGTGAGCCAGGGGTGCCCAGGTGAGCCAGGAGTGAGCCAAGGGTGCCCAGGTGAGCTGGGGGTGCCCAGATGAGCCAGGGGTGAGCTGGAGGTGCCCAGGTGAGCCAGGGGTGAGCCAGGGGTGCCCAGGTGAGCCAGGAGTGAGCCAAGGGTGCCCAGGTGAGCTGGGGGTGCCCAGATGAGCCAGGGGTGAGCTGGAGGTGCCCAGGTGAGTCAGGGGTGAGCCAGGGGTGCCCAGGTGATTCCCAGGTGCTCCCGGTGCTCCGAGCTGCTGCCGTTCCATGCTGCCATCAGCCGGGCAGAGGTGCCTGGCTGGGCAGAGCTCAGCCCTGCCAGGCTGCCAGGGCTTGGGCTCCACTGGCAGCGGGCAGGGCTCCACGTGAGCAGGGAACACCGGCCGAGGAGCGGGATTATCTCAGCCAGCCCAAACCAGTTCCCGCGCGGCCGCAGCCGTGCCAGGGCTCCCTTCCAGCAGCGCTGGCATGGAAAGAGCGCGGCTCTCCCGGGGCGCCGCTGCCCGCGCGGGGAGTGCCCCTGCACGGTTATTTTAAGGGTTGAGAGGCAAAGCTCTGCACCTCCTGAATGAACCCTGCACTTCTCCATCGAATCGCCTCGTTATTAATAATGCTTGGGCTGAAAAGCAGGAGTCTGCAGCTAAAAATATTTCCATTGTTCTGGTTACACTCGCTTTGGCTTGTAAAGCTGTTGAAAGGTTGCCGAGTTACTGGAAAAGCAGGAGCTGGGTTACAAGCTGGAAATAAAATTTGCAAGCAGTAATTCCCAGTATTAGAGGGACCTAGAGAGACTTAAAAAAATAAACTTTGACTGTATAATCTCTTTCTGATAAACTGCTAGATTATTAAAACATCCAAAGAGAAACATGCAGCTTGAGATCTGCCACATTTGGTTAGTCCAACAGTCTGAATATTCAGAGTTGTGTTAGACAGCAGCATGTACTTCCAAATAATTCAGGAAAAAACCTGCACAGACCAGACAATTCAAAAAAGCAGCTACAGGAGAAGCTTCTTCCCAAGTCCCATCAATTAGCTCTTGCTTTCTGTTCTGCACAGAGTCCAAAGATTTATAACCCTCTCAAAAGCATTTTTAATCCTGCCTTATGTAACTGTGAACCTACTTGGCCCTTCCAACTATAATCATGCAGTCATTTCTGAACCTAAGCATCTCCCCAGTTGCTTAATATTCAGAAGCAAATTCTAAAGACATGTTTTACATACACTGCAGTCAACTGCTATTTAATGCCTTTACACTTCTTATGAAGAAAAAAATTGTTCTTCCAGCAGCTTTAAGAGAAAAATGTGCCTTCTCCCTACAGCCCATTGATCTGTGTTTGATCTGCTGTTTGATCTCCTTCCTGAAAGAGGTTCAAGCAAAAAAGAGAAAAGAAACCAACCAAGCCATGTACACTATAGGAACTGCTGCTGGTAATTTATGGCCAATTTCACTTATTCACATAAACCTCACTGTGTATTCTAAACCAAAAACATACCTAGGTCCCTACTTTGATTGCTTTTAGTGGCTCCTAGGGGTTTATTTCTACCTTGTAGCCAAGTACTAGACAGGTCCACAAAGGCACAGCTGAATTTTGAAGCTCTCTCACAGAGAAAATGAAGCAGAGACTATATATACACTGAAGTGACTAGAGCTGAACTTTATTTTCAGTTAAAGGTATCAGGCAAGGACAAGCTCATTCCAACTGAGAGGTTTAATTACATTCCCATGTTCTCTTATTTAGGACTCTGCTTTCCTCCCACGTGGGATGGGGATATCACCAGTGACCCTGTCTGCCTCTCCACCTCGAGGAGAAGGAAGAGTGATGAAAACAAGCGCAGAGAAGCCGGGCTGGCAGGGCAGGGTGAAGGCACTCACCTCCTCACAGACCTCGCGCACGGCGGCTACGCCAGGCTCCTCCTCGGGCTCCATGCCACCCCCGGGGACAATCCATCGGTCTGGATGGCGACTACTGCTCACCAGCAGCACCTGTGGGGAGAGAGACAGCTGATGGGGCACCCCCAGAGATTGTCTTTGTGCCTCACACACCCCCAGACACGACCCACCCAAGGCAGGGCCTTGCCGCTGCTCGCTTCTCCCTCAGCCATGGAAATTCCAGCAGCAGCGACACCGAGGCACTCCCACACTCTGTGTTACCCCAGCCATGCCTCTCCCTGCTCTGATGCGCTGCAGGAGAAACTGTCCCTGCACACCAAAACACTCATTGGCACTGGGCACAGCATCACCCGCAGTGTGAGTGCACTGCAGAGTCCCCACAGCTCGGGATACACCCCAGGTAACAACACAAATGCACAGATGCTGCTCAGCACCCCCACCCTTTGCAGAAGTACTTTGATTTAATTCTCCTGGTGCCTTTGGCCTTGCCTGTCCCTGCAGTTCTGTCACTAACAACAATACACGTCCAGGAACTCCCACTGCACTATTTATGTGCAATTGTCTGAGCACAGATTCTCAGCCCCACTGTTTGTCACCTCTTTTGCAGTAGGCACTGAGGATTCAGCTCTGGAGCGAGCACTTGGCTACTTTTGGTTTAGAGGAGGTTGTTTAATGAGGTAAAAGCAAAATAAAAGCCTGTATTAAACCTATTAAACTTAAAACCCCCTAGGAAAGGGCTGCAGGAAGGACAGACTTTTGTCAATGAGAAAAATGGCTCAACCCTCTTCCCAGGAGGGATTTACCATACACGAGCTTTGGGGCAGGTTTTCTTGAAACAGTATTTTTTATTCCAGGGTAATCGTGCTCTGGAGAAGTTCAGGTTCTGATCTGCCACCTCCCAGCAAGACAAGCTCTAACTAACACTCTCAGCTGACTACAGACTGTCCCAAAGAACAGCGAGACGCTGTGCCTATTAAATCTACTTGCAATACACCCATGAGCAGAGATGGAAACTTAAAACAACACTGATACTGTTGTCCAGCTCTCTAAACAAAGCTCGTTCATTAGAGTCATCCTGCTGTACTTCATCATTTCACGGGCACAAAGCTCAGAGCCAAAGCGACTTGCTCCAGAAACTTTCCAACATACCAGTCCAATTAGGTTCCAGGCCAGCTGTAACAGTGTCAGACATTTGGGAGTTACACTGTGGAGACACTGAAATCCCAGGCTTTACTGGGGAAACAGTGACTTGCCAGTAGGATATGAAAAGATTTGCACTAATTACCCAAAGGAATCTACCTACAGAACTCAAACGGCCAAAACAAAAACAAGCACAAGATTTCCAGGATTTTTCAGCTGGTTTATCTTGAAAATTCTCTGACCAAACTCATACTGGAAACAAATGAAGGTGCATGAGCCACCTCAGTTCCACAATTCCAAGTGGGATGGTGCCTGCCCCATCCTCTGGCCAGGCTGTGACAGAACAGGCTTTGCTTTGCAGTGACATCCCAAGTGTTTGGCCCTCTCCAAGAGGAAGGCAGAATTCCTTTCCTCCACGCATCCGGTCCATGTAAAACTCCACCAGAAAGCCATGCCTAAATAGGGAATGTAAACTTCATTCATCCTCAGAGCCCTTGGGAGAGCAGCCAGTCCCTGCCAGGCTCCCCAGCCACCTCACTTTGCCACTGTGCCTCCTCCTAGCACAGCACTTGATTCTGCTCCATCCCCACTCATCATCCAAATGAGCTTGGACCCAAATTCCTCACTCCAGGTCAGCTGGTGGTTCTGAGGACAAAGCTAAAGAGCAGGAACAGCCACTTCAAGTGCACCTTTGCTGCCAGGTGAGGAAGCTCCAGCTCTGCCACTTCCCGTTGCAATTCAGAGCTCCAGCTCAAGGGGACAAAAACCCAGAAAAAAATGTTAAAAAAACCTCCAAAGAACCAGATCTTTGAAACTCAGCAGAGCACATCTCACAGCCCTGAACTCCTGCCACCTTCCAGGCGTGAGAACAAGGATCTGCTACAGAACCCTGGACACAGACTGCTCCAGGAAACCTGCTCAGGCTGAGACAATGCCTCAGCAACACACCAGGAGGAACTTCTGGGTGCAAACAATGGTTTGAGGCAAAGTAAATTAACTTCAGCTGCTCTGGCAGTTGAGCATTTTCTGAATAGAATTAACATGAACAACCCTTGGTGGGAAGGAAAAACCTGTCATTCTCACACTTTTATGTAATCAGACTATTTCCTGTTTAATAAAAAGGAAATCCCATCAAGAGAGTGCAGGAAACAAGTCCTACAAGGTCATTCTTTTAAAACAACTTCAAACAGGATATTGCTACCAATGAGCTCTCCCAAGACAAAGGGGCTGAGTTCCAAAGGAGGGGGAGACATTGCTGTGTTGGAAAAAACCCACACTTCCAACACCAGCCCTGGATCCAGATACATGCAATGCATTCAGAGGGATCAAGGAAAAAGTTGTCATCATCCAAATCCCAAAATTTTGGGTTGGAAGGGATCTTGAAGCCCATCTCATTCCCTACCACCTTCCAGTAGATCAGCCCAGGGTACAGCTGGCTTTTTAGCTCATTAACTTCTTTATTACATAAATAACTTTTATTTTAATACATTCTAAAGTACTTAATTTAATCTAAACAGCTATCAAAAAATAAACCAAAATTTAGTTATGTTTTTAAATCAGGCTAGAACACGTAGGAAGGTCAGATATTTCAATTTAATCCTTGCCAGGCAACTGTGTTTAAAATGGCTACTGAGACTCTTGGCCTACCAGGAATTTTGGAGTTGGATTTTGGAGCCACGTCCTGCAGACTTTTTGGAAAAGCATTTGCAGGTAATACACATGTCACATGGCCAAGTTGTGTTTTCCAGGATTTCAAAGACAATTATGTCATTTCAAAGCAGGGAAATGAGCAACACAAGCCTCTCTGGCAAGGCAGGAGGTGGCCCTGCTGAAACTCTCCCACACAATCCCCCACAAAAGAGAAAGTTTAGAAAAATAAGCCAAGCTTGAAGTGTGCAGCAGGGGCTCGAAGCAGAGCCTCAAGGCAAGAACCTTCAAAGCTGCACACAACAAACAAACCCAAACAAACCTGAGCAGTACTAACCCTGCCTGGAGGAGACAGGAAACACACCAAGACATCTAAGGCTGCCCAAACAGCCACATGGAATAAGGAGCTCCATGGGAAAAGGGGCAAAGAGTTTGTCCCTGGGATGAATATGGACATCCCCCATACACAACACTTTAAAATAACTGACACAAACCACTGTATCCACATGGAGGGGTTTTCCTGTCTTCTTTTCACAGGAATAATGGGGCTCTGCAAAGCAAGAACTGGGCAACTAGGACCAGGCAGAGAATTAACTCCCATTTGTGGAACAGAGGAGCAGAGATTCCCAGGTTCTTCCATGCTAGGGTGGATTTAAACAACATCCACCACCCATAAATAAAACAAGGAACACGATTCCTCGAAAGAGGCTCCACAGCAGCACTCGAGCAGACAGAAAGGGCCACAGCCCCGCGAGGAGCTGGGCCACAGCATGGGTAGAAAATGAGCTGAGAACCTTCCAGACTTCCAGGAAAAGCCAGTGCTACCCACCTGTGCCAGGCAAGCTGGCAGCCAGCACAGGGAACAGCAGGCAAGATGTTAAATCCAGGGTCTGGCCCAGCAGCCTCCTGCTGCCAGGAGCTGATCCATAGCTGCTGGCTCCTGACACTGCCTTACAAGCTTCCCCTCAATATTTTCAGGCTTTCCCTCAATATTGACATGCTTTCTATCAATACTGTCGTGCTTTGTATCAACATTAAGCTATAAATCACATGGTTTGCACAGCGACTGAAGCACAAACCTCCCGGCACTGCACCTCATTTCCCACTCCAGCATCATTTATCAGAGCTCAGCCTGCTGAAACTCTGCTGCCGCAGAGGCTGCAGGAGCTGGGAGGAGAAGATGGCTGACTGCAAGGCTTTTGCTGTTCAGTCTGCCTTTGTCTCAAAGTTTCAGTTTAAAACCAGCGTGTTCTCAGGAGCTGAGCTGTGCTGCCATTTGCCCCACGGCCATCCCAGAGCTGCTGCTGTGTCCAGCATAACAAACACCTCGGGTGCTTCACTGAAAATTAACAAAATTCTCCCAATCCCCAAATATCAGTGCTGCAATGCTTTTCTACCTGACAAAAGTGGGATGTTCATCTGACCACACCAAACCACCTTTAAGCCCTACAACCACCACCAAGGGGTGAGAATTGGAGGAATAGGAGGAGAAGAGGAACACTGTTGTCACCAAAGCTGTGCAAAATTAATCTCATTTCCCTGGCAGCAGCACAGCCTCGATGACTCCCCAACAAATCACGTGTTTTGCCAAACTGCAAGGGCAGTTTGCCCCAGGGTGCACGCCAGGGCTCACGGGAGGGCTTCTCCCACCCTCTTGCTATTCCAGGCACGTTCTGCAGCTCGCACATGGTAGGAGTGAATCCAGCCGTGGGTCAGCAGGGCTGCAGCCCGCCCTGCACCTGCCAGGGTCAGCAGCTGGGACCACAACACACACTCTCACCAGAAATCCCTCCCTGCCCATAACAGCCTGTCCTGCCAGGAGCATTCCAGCTCCTCAACAGGATACGTTTCCTTAGACAAGTGTTATTTTTGCACATGCACCTGCACCAGGCTCCGTGGGATAATGGGATTTAACTGATAACGAGGGATCCAGGAGCTGGAGGTGGGAAATTCACGACAGGACGGTGCAAAAGGGAAGGGATTCGTACTAGAGAACTTGACAAAAGTAAAGCACAAGTTTTGGAACGGGAGCAAGAGGTGAACTGGAAAGAGTTCAAGTCATTTCAAGTGCTTGGATCGCACCTACAGTCCTATAAGCAGAGAGGAAAAAATACAGCAGATTCTGTTGGTTTTTAGGCTGCTGGTTAGAATAACAATAATAAATCACCGTGCTGCTGCTCTGGCTCCAGAGCTCCACAGGTCCTGTTACTGCTACTGCAGCGCTCCTGCTGCTTCAGAGCCGCTGCCTGCTCCTAGCAGGGAGGAACGCAATCCCAAGTCCTCCCCCTCCAGCGAAATTATGGTTT